GGGGTTGGGGACCCAGCGGTGAGGAAGCACGGTCCCTGCTCGTGTGGGGCAGGCCGGACAGAGGTCAAACGTGGACTTCAGGTCCCCGGCGAGTGTCTCTGCTCAGCGGGATCAGTTGCCGGGAGAAGCGGGTCTGGCCCTTGCCCCTATCTGGCAGCTCAGGACCCACTCACGTGGGGAGCTTGGTGAAGGGCATGCAGGTTCCTTGGTCTGAATTCCCTTGTAGCTGTTACCCCAATTTAGCCGGTCCCATCACCATCCTGAGTTTTGTCATCTATGAAATGCCAGGGAAGGAAAGCCATTCGTGGGTTCAAGAACCTTATTCAAGTGCGGAACCGGGTCTAGATCATCTCTGGAGGGGGATTCAGCTCTAGCACCTGCCCCGGAGCTCGAGCCAGGTCCAACACCGATGCGAGCCGCAGCTCCCGAGACTAGGGCAGCTGTAGCTTCAGCTCTCGCGCCAGCTCTGGGATCAGATAGAGAGAGGAGCCTCCAAGGGCTGGAGGGACTGGCCCCCCCTCACCTGCTCCTGCTGCACCAGCTTCTGGGGTCCTGGTATGCTCTTGCCGTGGCCTCAGGTGAGAAGGGCTTTGCGTTGGAGAAGGCCTCGAAGAACATCGAGGGCGTCATGGTGACCCTTACTCCAGAAAACAACCTGAAATTGTTGTCCTCCAGGCACAGGTGAGTGAGCTGTGTGCCCTGTGTCTGGGTGGGACTCATGCCGGGGTGGGAGAGGCCTCCTGGGCAAACCCCTCTCGAGCTACTGCTTGAACTGGGTCATGCCTTGTGCTGAAGAACCACGGGTTCTTGGGGGACTCCAGGTACCCTCGCTCCCATTCCTGCATCTGCCTGCAGGAGATGTGGGGCCTGGGTGTACCTGAGCCAGGCCTGGCCTTGGGACAAGCAAGGGCAGGGGAGATCTGGGGTAGGATGGTAGCTCCACGGTATGGGTGAGCTTGGTCCCACGGGCCATGGTGTTGGCCCCAGGGCCATGGGGCTGGGTCTTCACAGTGAAGCTGGTGGAATCAGACACCTAAATACAGAAGCTGCGGCCTCTCGAGGGCCTTGGGCCCTATGCAAAGCCACAGATGCCATAGGAGCCTCAAGGATGCCACAGGGCTCAGACCCCATTTTTGGCATCTGCTCATCGGACTGATTGGTCAGCAGCGTCTCCTGGTGCCAGTGTCAAGGAGCATCTCTGTCCAGGGACCTGGGCCAGACGCTGATTTGGAAAGGTGGATTGTGCTGAGGCCCCGCCTGCAGACACACATTCAGATCAGGGCTTGGAGGAGAGGCAAGTGGGCCTCTCACGTTTTGTTGTGTAATGAAATTTCATTGTTGGCCTTTGGACAGGAAAGATACTTGCATGGCTCAAAATCAGGGTTCTGAAGGGTGTACCGTGGGGGTCCTTCCCCACGTGCCTCAGCCAGCCCGTCTCCTCCCTGCGGGTAACCCGTGTTACGGACGTGTGGGCGGGCACACACCGGCACCCGTGTGTCATTTGCCGACGCACGCTGGGGGTTGTCCGATCAGTCCACAGAGGCTCTGCTCTCTTTTAAAACATTTCCAAGTTTGTTCTCTTTTGTCTTTATGACATTTTTCAAAGTTGTAGGAAGATAAACACAGCGCAGAGGTTTACTGTCCTCACTCCTTCTAAGCGCATAGCTCAGGGGCGTCAAGCACATTCACACTGTTGGGCAGCCGTCCCTCTCCGTCCTTTCCGCGTTGAACACGGACCCCTCCACGCCCCCGCCCCTATTTCTGTGGGTCCGACGCCTCTGGGGCCTACGGAGAGTGGATCCCTTGGGATCGGTCCCTCTGCGCCGGGTGCCGGGCTGATCTCACTCGGCACCGTGTCCTCCACGTTCATCCGCGTTGTAGCAGGTGTCGGGATTTCCTTCCTTTTTAAGGCTCAATTATGTTCCATGGTGTGGACAGGCCACATGGTTGCTTCCACCGTCTGGTTTTGTCAATGGCGCTGTCATGAACATGGGTGTGCAAGTCTCCCTTCCGTTCTCCTGGGTGTGCGCCCTGCAGGGGATCTTTGGGCCGTACAGGGATTCCCTTTCACATTTACCGGGGCGCTCTGCTCTTTTTGATCGCTGCGTGACACTCCACCCGGGCTCTGCTGCTCGACAGACAGTACTCTCCAATCTTCGGCACCTGGAAACACCCTCTGGGGCATGGGCCCTGGTGCTCTCGCCTCCAAGCGGTCCCCGCGTGGCTGGTCCCCTGAGCCAGTGCCCCGGCATTTCTGTGCTCCCACTTCTCCTACATCTGATAGGAAACAAACGGCACCCTTCAGCTTCTACGCCCCCCTTCTAAGGATGGGAGTGTTGCGGTGTACGTGCTGCCTGCCCAACGCACTGCCTGGTCACATCTTTGGCGTGTTTTTCTCTGAGGTGTGTTTTTCCTGGTCTGTAAGAACCCTTAAGGATTAGGAATATGAGGCGCTTGTCTGTGAGAGAAACCAGTTGCAAATGTATTTCCCAGTTCGTCATTTTTCTTATAACATTGAGGAGGACTTTTTTTTTTTACATACATGAAGGATTTCTTTCCGTTTTTGTGTAGAGGCACACCAGCTTTCTCTCTGCGGGGCTCCTGGCTTTTGTGACACAGTTAGGAAATGGCTTCCAGTTCCCTGGTGCTTCTGGCATCTTTGCTGCATTTGGGATTTGACCCTGGGAGAAAAGGAGGAACAACTTGGTTTTCTCTAGATTACTACCCAATTTCTAACATCATTTATCGAATTAGCTCTCTGTCCTCCATGGACTCTGGCTGACTTTGTCAGGTGCTAAATTCCCATGCTCCCATTTTGCTTTATATTTTGACTTTTTTTTTTTTAGAATTTATTTCTTTATTCTCAAGAGAGTGAGAGAGCACAAGAGTGAGGGGCGGAGGGAGGCGTCGAGAATCTCAAGCAGAGTCTGCGCTGAGCGCGGAGCCCGACTCAATCTCACGACCACGAGATCACAACCTGAGCCGAAACCAAGAGTTGGAC